GAAACCAAGAGCAGTGTTTGCAGCAGAACCATGCTGAGGAAGTTGGAATTTCGTCTCTTGTTTAGAGATACCCTTCTGATGAACTCTTAACTCAGTAACAAAATTTAAGGAAAATTTCCAGTCTTTAGGGGCCCAGCCACAATGAAGAAGACATTGATTTCCAGTGAGTTCAATCCATATCCTTTTACTAAAACTGTGCTGTGAAAAATTGCTTGAGAGGAGCATTGCCACTTTGATACCCTCTGTACTGGAGATCAACCTCTTCCTCTGAAACTTGCAGCTAATGCAATGACCAAGGAACTCATGGTTTGTAATTTTTACCTGAGAACCTGCTACTACCAATCGCAAACTGCATTTATTAATCTTGTAATCTCTGGTTTCTGCAGCTCTACTGTGCTTCCAAGCTCAGATGTCCCTGCAGTCAGCAAGGACACCTGACACTCTTAATTTCTCAACCATTTTTCTTTTCCTAGCCATATATGTTACTTTTGGAATACACCTCAACATTTCTTTTTCTTCTCATTATAGCCAGAAAGAGCTAGTGTTAAAAAATATCCCCAAATGATAAAATAGTTAGCAGGAAAGTCATCAGGAAAGACAGAATGGAAATCAGAAAGGAAACTGACCTCTGTTTGAAATCAGCATAGAGAATTCTGCTGGGGAAGCCTTTCCTGCAGATCCTGATCCCTTCCAGCACGCCGTTACAGCGCAGCTGGTGCAGCACCAGCTCGTGCTCCATGGCACCTAAGCAATAAGGCAATTATTTGATAATTCATCATAAAATATAGAGAATAATGGCTGCATCAACCGTTTCTTATTTCTGCTTGGGGTTCTTACCAGGTGTTTTAGACTCATTGGGGATGATGCAGCGCACAAAATGGGGGTGAGTGCTCCGCAGGTTGGTCATCAGCTTGTTGAGATTCTCCTGTGGTTTCATGAATAAAGGTTTTTAATTAACAAATAGTACATCCTCAGTTACTTTCAGATATGAGAAAAATCTTGTAAAAAACATTAACATATTTGTAATTCCCATCTGTAGACATTTTAAATGTGAGTTTTCTTTTGTCGTTCACTCTTGAGCAGGAGAAAGTCACAAAACTTTGCAATGTGTTTTAACTAGATGGGGGATGTATCTATCTGTTCGTCAGCTGGCCTCAACTGACTTGCTGTCAGCTCATTTATGAATTACCAAACAATTATTCTTGATACATAAAAACATTAACAGCTGCAGTTAAATGGCCTTATCGCAGCTAGACTGAGGTTTTATGATCTTCAACTCAAAACAAACAAAAAAAAATCAAACCAGGTAAGAAGTAGAAAGAATGAATTTGGTACTCACCCTGAAAAGTGCTGAGACAGTCTGGAAAGAAGAACCCTTTTCCCTTCTTGCCACCACCACCACCACCACCGCTAGCCTCTGAAGAACGCCAAAAAAAAAAGAGAAAAAAAGGATAGTTTTACAACTTGTAAAGATCAAGTTTTTTTCATATACAGCAATCATATTAAGAATGGAACATGGAAAAGAAAAAGAGCTGGTATTCATGGCTCAGGTTGAGCCAGAATAAACATGTTAAATAAACATGGAAATTTGAATTTCAGAGAACTGACCTGCCTCTCCTCCAGCAGAGGCAAAGAGTAAAGCAAGTGTCTTCAGGGATGACTTCTGATACAACCCCACAACAGTTTCATTCAGAGGGTCCTTGTTCTTGTCAAGCCACCCAGTGATGTTGTAGTCCACTGTGCCAGCATAATGCACCAGGGAGAAGTGGGCCTCAGCCTTGCCTTTGCCAGGCTTGGGCTTCTGGAAGTTGTTGGACTTGCCCAGGTGCTGGTCATAGAGCTTGTTCTTGAAAGAGGTGTCAGTTGCCTTGGGGAACATGCACTCCTCTTCCAGGATGGAGAAGATGCCCATGGGCTGGAGAAAGCACAAGTGACAAGGGAGGACAAGGTGAAAAGGCAGAAAGACTCAGAGCTGAAATAACTTCCTGAGTGAGACAATATTACTGCTCTCATGGATTGTTCTGCTCAGCAGATTGTAAAATAATACAAACTGATGTATCTGCAGTACATCTACCATTTCAAGCTGCATTTAAAAATATACATAAAACTAATGCATTTCTGAAAATACCTAACATTGTGAATTACAGAATTCCCGGCCCCGGATTCTCCGCTGCCAAAGGCAAGAGAGAAGCAGAGGGTGCGTGGTCAGGCAGGAGGTGCCCTGGCACCGGGCAGCCCCGCAGGGACCCGCGCAGGGGGTGTACGTACGTGATCAGGATGGACTGGTTCTCCCGATCTGTGAAGAGACAGAAACAAGTAGACTTTGTAAATGAAGAACTCAAAAATACTGAAAATTAATTTAAGTAATGACAAGAAAAACACCTGCATTATTTTCATTTATTTACTCTTAAGTCTTTTTTTTCCACTTCAGTTCCTTGCAAAGCAGTTTGCAATTGCACTCTTTCCTTGACAGATATTCAGAGATATCCCTCCAAATATCACAGGGAAGGCCCATGGCATTTTTAAAGATCCCTTCCAACCCAAAACATTCTGTTATTCTACAATGCTTTGCCATGGGCACTGAAAACCATTGAAGAGCTATATGCTGCTTCTCTGTACCACTCTACACTTTTTTCCTTCTCCTGCATATAGTAAATTGTTTTAACTTTCTGCTACACAGACTACTTTTACAGAAGTGGAGAAAGAGAGATTAAAGGCCCATTTCAAAGGAATCCTGATCATGGGTAACACTTTGGAACTCAATAGCACAGAGAAAGAAAGGAATGAAAAATGCAGAAGCAAAATTAGCCATATAATCCTATTTAATTTTTCATGACAGGTTTTTTTGAGACTCCTCTCAATGAGGAGAGCCACTCACCAGTCAGCATGAACTGATAGGCGTTGTCAGAGATGGAGAAGATGTGTGGAGGGGCCTCCTGGCGCTTCTTGCCTCGGTAGGCCAACACCACCTCGGGGTTGTACACCGGCAGCCACTTGTAGGGGTTGACAGTGACGCAGAAGAGACCCGAGTAGGTCTGCAAGGAAGGGACACAGCACCTTGGCTTCCCCTGAGCCTGGCCCAGCAGCTCCCGAGGCTGCCCAGAGGAAGCTGCTGCTGCCACTTACGTAGATCATCCAGGCTGCGTAACGCTCTTTGAGGTTGTACAGCACAGCGGGTTCGTGCAGGTGGGTCATCATGGCCATGTCCTCGATTTTGTCATACTTGGGAGGGTTCATGGAGAAGATTTGATCTTCTTTCACGGTCAGGGTCTGTCAGAGGGAAGGAAGGTACATGCATGTCAACTAATAGCCAGCATGGGTATGTACTGCTGTTTGTAAATTTTGCATTTTACCCACCTCTCCCCCTTCAGTCTTGACAGTGACTTTGCCTGATTCCCTGCTTGTGATAGTGCTCTTCACATAGGACTCCTTTGCATGTACCACGAAGACGGATGTCTTGGCATCAAAAGGTTTGTTCTGGGCCTCAATTCTCTCCTTCTCTGACTTTCGGAGGTAAGGAGCTGCCTCCCCAAAGATGGCCATCTCAGCGTCCGAAGACATGGCTCTGGTTTATTGCGTGCAGCAAGGCACGGCGCTGAAATGGAGAGGCAGGTCTGAGTGAAGAGGGAAATTTCTTTATAGTAGCTACCTTAGGCTTGGTAGTGTTCCGCTGTGCCTGTTATTACAGTCTTCTTTTCTGCTTTACCTGCTTTTGACCCTAGATGTGTTTCAGTTTATTTTAATCTTAAAGAAGATGGGTGTGTTTGATTGAGATCAAAAGTTTTTTTCCCTTTTTCCAGTTTAATGTTTCAGTTCATTAGATCTCACTGTGTTTTAGGAGGCTATGCAGAAAAGTTGATTGGCAGATTCAGTGGTAAAGATGCAGCAGAAATACCAAGCAGAAGCAGAAGAGATACCAAGAGAAGTCATCTTATCAAAATTATGAAAGCCCACTTATATTCTTTCTCTCACTCCCATTTCAGCCCATGTAATTTGTGCCAATTATATAGATGGAGTGTCATCAGGGAACAGATGTGGAGTAAGCAGAAGCAGAGGTCAGAGTTGTCTATGCAAATGTTTTTCCTCTGTAGAGAAATCAGAGGGGTTTTTTCTCCAGTTGTTCTGCCTTTTCCTGTTCAAGCTCACCCTTTAATATTAACTTGTATAGAAAAAGGAAAACTTCTCAATAAAAAGCATTTGGAGGGATTTGACAAAATCTTAACTATGCATGTGCTCTTCATTCATCTTTTCTTTCCTGGGTTTCTGTTTACAGTCAATCTCCTTTTAAGAGTTCTGTGTGTAAGTAGTCAATTATTTCCCAGCAGGTACCAAACAAATGCGTCCAACACAGTTATAAAAGGAAACTTGCTCTTTTAGACAGCACAGCTCAGGTAGAATTGCATTGCTTTAGCATGCACAGATGTAGAGGGTTATGGAAAGTGGCCTTAGAAATGCATTAAAAAAGCAAACCTGGAGTCTGTTCCTACGGAGTAAGTAAATCAGTCTTACCTCTTGCGTCACCAGTTGACTCTAAGCCTGGAAGCTGGCCAATACTGAAAAAGAGAAGTGATAACTTCTTTCTTATCTTTGCACAGACTCCCAAGAATAAGCCACAGGGCAGAAACATGCCAGTGACTTCAACAGAGAGGAAACATGCCTATAGAGACAGACAATTCTTTGAGGAAAGCAGTTCCACAGGCAGCAGGAATGCTGTGGGGATCTGCCAGCACTCAACTGTCCCTATTCTTACCTTTAATCCTTCCACAGAGGCAGAACAGGCTTGTACTACCAGCACTTTTATAGGTTCTGGTTTGCACATTCAATTCCCTCCTCCTCTTTCTTAGGTCAAAAAATTTTTGGCAAAGCATTGTTTGGCAAACTTGACTGAGTGCATGATTCCCATTCGTGCTTGTGGATATATTTAGAAATATTTGAGGTCTTCCTAGCTATGTGAATAAATCTCCTATAAATATTATGACTAGGAATCTAGGAAGGAGGAAGTGCAGCCCAGCAAATAGATCACGACACTGGATCTTGGAATTGTTGGCTTCTCTTCTCCTGTTAATTGCTATTTGACATATAAGATTTGTGTGTCTCAGGACTCAGCAAAAGTTATAAGGATAACTATTTCAAGAGCTTTGGAGGGAACCTATTCTAAAATATTCTGGAAATAAAGAATAGGAATAATCTAGTATAGTCTAATTCCAAGACTGGATTACCATATCATGCTTGTGTTATTGCACCTATTTACAACTCCTTAGCTTTTTGGTGGGTACTTTCAAAATATCAGATAAAACAGATTATTCCCCTTGATTCATACATTTAATTACATCTTTTGCCTTCTTCTGAAGTATTACTGAGTGGCTGTGATTTGAAATTCAATTTTATTTTGCCATTCTCCATATCTGGCTGTGCTCGTTTGCTCTGATGTATGTCCAGCAGAAATTTCGGTGAGCTCACACTAGCAGAAATTCCTGAGGATGCATTTTACATCTTTCATCTTTTAGGTTTATTGGAAGTTTTAACTCACCAAATCCTGCTATTTCAGAAACCTTGGACAGTGGCTGTGGTTACCAAATCCAAGAATGGGATTTAGATCCCGAGCTGTCCTCCTCCAGCCTTCCCAAGCACAAACACAAATGCCACTGAAATATACAGAATTCCTCAGAGACTTTTCATTTCCTTTGCAAATATTTAGGAAGATTCTGCTTTTCAAAGTTCTTCCATGGAGCTGGGATATGGTGTGTTTCTGTATCACATTCTGAGGACTCACATTTTCTCTCAAATGTCAGGAAATTGAAGCAATGTAAGAAGGATGACCAGTCTTCTCAACTCACTTCTTTAAAGAACATTTGTGAACTTATAACACTGCATGTATGACTGAAATATCTGAGATCATGTATTCTTGTAAGAGATTGCCAACGTCTTTCTGAAAAATATATGTGGAGATAATTTCTGTTTGAAAAATAATATTGCGTGTTTGTGGAATTGTCACTAAGAAAACATTATCCTCTGGCATCAAAAGAGAGTAAAGGGAGAGAAAGAGAGGAGAGATTTTTCTCCTCTTCTTCTAATGCATTACATAACACCTTAACAAAGAATAGACTTGACTGTTCTTTATATGCCACATGAAATTAACTCCAAGATAAATTTGCAGGTTTTTGATAAATTTTTTTCTTTCTTCTGACTTCTGAGTTGTGTGGGAACTTAAAGCTTTCCAGCTGAGAGCCATATAACCATAGGAAAGCTCCCATCCAGTATCTCCTTTTACAGTTATTACTGTGTTTAGGTGTCTAGTTGCAGCTGCAAAATGATTCCTCATAATTCAATTTCCCTCCTGGGTTCTCTGCACATGTCAATTAAAGAAGATGACATGGATTCCTGCACTGGTTCAAAGGTCACACTTGTAGTATATCATCCTCTCTGTCAGTTTGATATCTTGCATTTTGTTTCATCTCCTAGAGTAATGGGAAGGCAACAGATTCAATAAGAAATGACTGATGGCTTGTTTTTCTGTTTCCTCCTAACCTATAAGCGTGACAATAAAGGACCACTTTCTACAGCCTGATTTTCATCTGCTTTTTTTAGGAAATAGCACCTCATCTATATTTTTTCCTGCAGTGAATAAAACATCAGGCCCAAAGCCATTCTAGGGCTCTGAGTTCTCATAGATTGCCTTGCTTCTTCATGTTCTGTGAATTTTGTAAATATTTTCCATCTTTGTGACATCTCATATTTCAGACTTTTTACAGATTTTTTTAAACTAGGATGAAATAGTGTCAACTTGTGTTTAAGCTATTTTCTGCTATTTTCAAATTTTGGAAAGGATTACATACAGGTTTTTCATTTGTGGATAGAAAAAAGATTTATAAATACAGAGAAGTGAAGGTTCTACTTTTGTAATTGTAGAGGTGGACTTCACGCTACTGAAAAAGTTATTGACCTCAGTCTTCAACTCATCTTTCTCCTTTGACAGCTTCTGCTTGATGCTTTGCAGGGTCTTACTCACCAAATTCATCCATCTAGAGTAGTTAGTTTGTGAAACAAAAATTAAAACAACATGTTTTCCCCAAGACTTCTGAGACTCTGCTTCTTCATTCCTGATTCCCCTGCCTCCAACTCCAAGAAGTCCAGTTAGGTAGGAAATGGGAACTAGAAGTGATTCTATAACAGTTTCTCTCTGCTTGTTCTTCCTGGTCATACTTCTCCCTTACTCCAACATGGGCTCTATGGGCTGCAGTTCCTCCAGGAAATTTCCACCTCCTGCAGTGCTGAGTCCTTGAGATGCATGTGGGTATCTTGTCTACAATGGTCCTCTGCCCCAGTGCCTGGAGCACCTTCTCCTGCTCCTTCTTATTTGACAAGATGGAACACAGGACCAAAAGAAACAAAACACTCACTAAGGTCAAACTCATCAACAGACACTGCTATTTTCCTATTCACTAAAATGGTAATTTCATCACAGAAAGCTTGATCAAGTATTATTTCTTCTGTTAAGGACTTCCAATGATCTTCTTGTCAATCAGTGTAGACGAAATAAGTTTCTATGAAGATTTTGCCTCCAATGAATAACAGTCTGGCAAGTTAATTCAGAAACTTGAGTAATATACCACAAAACCAGATAATGAGGGTAGAGCAGAAGGTGGGAAATGTTGATAGAAATTTTACACTTCTTTAGAGATCTAAGGATGATGGAATTTGAAACTGGGACATTGGATGTTGCAGGCTGGATGAGGCCTTCTGCAGCTTGTGGAGATATGACCACCCATCCTATGTATTGATGTATTTTGCTAGGGATACCTGGGATATACCTTTCCCCATATGTTTTTTTGGATCTTCTGGCTCACTGGCTGCTCCCCAGAGCCAGATGTGCTGTTTATGCTTTTTTTTTTTTTTCTTACAGACTATTCTTCACATTAATATTAGGCTTAGGGGTATAATAGTGTTGATTTATCACATTACAAAAATTATTTATGCTGCAAAGATGTGTGAATTTGTTGATTTTCATAGTCCTCAGTTACAATTAATTTTCAGTGAAAATTTCATGTTAGATTGTGCTAGGGATTTGATTTGGGGTCATAGGTGGAAATATGACTCTTATTAGAGACCATTTGCCTTTGGAGCCTTGTATAAAACAAATGTATTCAAGGAGTTGGTGACACCTACTCAGTTGGTCCTTGCACTGTGGACTTTGGAATTCCATATGTTATTAAGGTAAGCTTTAACTTAAATATCTATGAGAAAGGCAAATTGTGTCTGTATCAAGGAGTAGAATATCTCAATCTCCTGACCAGGAGACCACTGTACATGGAGAAGTCAATGATCTGCATCACAGTTAACCTCAGAGTGCCCAGGCCCACACTGAGCTATGCTTCTCATCCTGCACCACCTTAGCTGTGCATTTATGTGTGAATCATATATTTTCTTGTACTCTCTGTCATTAGCATTGCTGCTGTTATTGTTATTTTTCTTATCTCATTGCTATTTCCAGTAAATTGTCCTTATCTCAATCTGTGATCTTTGCTTTTTGTGCCTCCAATTCCCCTCTCCTGTGTGCTGCAGAGGAGGGAGAGGGG